ATCAGACATAATCAAGCTGGCCTAAGGGGTTACAGATTTGGATGAGGGCCACATACTCTACTAATTGCTTCTAATAAATTACATATTTCAGGAGGGACATCATGATTTTAATCATTTATTCTGCATGTTGTTTCCTTTGGAGAGAAGAACAAATAGGCACTAAACAAGTCGAGCATCTGAAATTCATGGCAGAAGCTAGAATGAGCTCATTTAATATCAACCATCATTGTAAATACTAGAATTATGCATATATCAAATCCCTGGGTCGAACACTCTGGGATCAGCCAGTGAGTCCTGGTTGTTTTAATGAGACAAACCAAAATGATGTCTTTGAATGTTCCTTAGATTTATACAACTCAGATTTAATCCCATTTCAAATGTTGTAGCTGGGGCCAAGCTCAAGAAAGTCTTTGTTTCTATGCAAAGAAAAACACATTAAGAGGGGAATTTAAAGTATGTATTTCCCAAAAGGCTGAAAAGGAAAACAGTCAAAAGTACCTTTCACCTCTGTGGGGAAAGACTTTAATTATGATTTGATGGCAACTAATTGCAAAGGTGGTCCAGTAAACACAGAAAGCAGCAAGAACTTTCTTTAAAGCCCACTGAAATTAGTAGGATCTTTATGTTGATCTAAATAGCCTCCTGCAGAGTGAACTAGGATGAGTGAAGGTTTCCTATTTCCCTGACCTCTAGCACACCCACGCCAGTAGACTCACTGTTAATGAAGTCCTCAAACCACTTGGGAATCTATGCTTCCTTCACAGGGGGAGACCTTGATGGTACTTAAATAGTTGCTAGTATTAATAGCAATATCTGGTAGATAATGTGGAGACTTGGGAGCTCTAGGGAGCAATGCAGGTTTGGGAACAGCTCAGGCTGTCTTCTGTTTGTCTTTGTAAACCTTGCTTCACGTCACTTCAGGCTGCGTTTCCTTTCAAGGATGAGCTGCGGTGCCAAACAAAATGTGACTATCTAGGTAAAACGAAACCTGCCTTGGTACAAAGTATGCCTTGGGATGGAAAGTTGCAGCTGTAGCTCTGAGACTCAAATGCACTCTTGATTTTCAAGTGGTAATGAGACACTAAGGAAGCACCATTGCCTGGGATAAGTGCAATCTGCTTTTGCCTTGGCAGTCTAAGCTGCCTTCCACTTGGTCCCTTTCTACCTAGGAGGGTTATTGTCCCATTTTAGACTTCTCTGGTGAGTGTGAGGGGAAAAAAGTGAGACTCCAGCAAGAGTTCCAGGGGCTTCTCTAACCTACTGACCAGGATGATGGAGATATCTCTAAAGATGCTATTTATGGATGGATGGATGCATGCATGCGTGGATATTTGTGCTGAAACATTTGGATGTCTACTTTGGTACAGACAAAAAGGACCAAAGGATTCTTCTTAGTTTTATTTTACAGAATGGGAAGCAGATGGGTAAATAGGAGAAACAGGCCTTATGCAATGACAATTGACTGGAAAAGTTTGCATTAGGTAAAACTGATGACTCTTCAAATTGAGAAGCATTCCTCTGGTTGTTTTTATGGTGTTTTTCATAGGGAGGTTCAAGCCAACTTCTGCACACAAAAAAAGAGCATCTTAAAATAAATGAAAGTGATGGAGATTCAAGATTAGCACATTTGAGTTTTGGAAGTTATAGAAGAATGAAACAATCTGAAGTTGAGACATAAAGCCCAAGAGTAAGAGAAGAAAAAAGTGACACAAATGGGAAATAGAGGTGATGAATGATTGATGCTGTACCTAGAAAAAAAAATGTGACAAGAGGTAAACCACAACAAACTGAAAATACAATGGATTAATTTGGTGCATCCTTCAGACACTGAATTTTGCCAACTTTGTATGCTACATAAGAGCATGGAATTAAAACACACTAGTGTAGCAGGGTTAGAAAACAAAGTATTTTTTAAAGCAAAATGGAAAATCTCTTTGACATCCATTAGGTTTGGTAATATAATACTAACAAGACCACTGTACTGAGCTGTTATCTGGTTTGCTGTCTGATTCACTCTCCAGATTACCACTTAAATCAATAGCTCTCACATTGATTTTTCCAGCACACTGTATTCCAGTAAAAAGAACAATGCTCTGAAATGAGTCAGCTATTTGCTCCGTCTGTAGGGACTCTGGTGTATTTTCGTTTAGGAAAATATAAGCAGGAGCCAAAGTACACGCAATATATAGTAATAAGAACCTGCCTGTTGCACCATAACATGACACTAGCTCTGCAGACACACAGGTTTGCTACAGCTTGCTGCAGCAACTACAGACCTGCCTGGAGCTAGAGCAAGCCCTTGTAAGGACGGAACCAAAATATTTGGGGGCAATCTTAGGCACATAATCACATTGTCTTTCAGTTTGGGTGACTGCTACGGTGGAGGGGAAATATATGCCCACATTTAACTAAGATGCTGATCTCCATTTATTTACCGTGACCTATTTTGTAGATTTTCCTGTATTTGCGTATTCCATGTAATATGTGCTATAGTCCTAGTTCTAGTCATCACTATTGTCTGATGCTGCTTCTGCTCCTTTTAACCATGTTTAACAATTTCCTCTTTCATTTATAATCACGACATACAGATTCATTTACTCTTGCTTTCTCTCTCTTGCTTAGCAATGAATTCATGAAACTAGCAAAAAATCTCTCACACAGTTTTATAATTATTTCAAGGAACTTGCAAGTAGTGCAGAAAAACTGTTTTCATTTCAAAGAAGAAATAAGAATCTCAAGAGCTACTTGGACATTTGGAGTCAAGCTAAAGCATGATGCTCCCCACTATGCTGCAGCCATAGAGCAAAACTGGTGTCATGGCCCCTTGTCTCTCCCACAGCTCTCTGCACACAGCTGCTGTCTCGGCTTCCAGGCATTGCACCCGCCTGCAAGTTGGCTTATTTCTGGGAACTTTGAGTTAACAGCAGATAAAAACTACTAAAATGCTGGAGAAATTGACAGATCAAAATGTTTGTCCCTCTTTCCACTGCAAATTCTGTTTTACAGAGATTTATTATCCCCATCTTTGAATGATTACAGATTACAGTCTATCCCACCTTCAATTAGTAACAGCCCCAGAGGACATGGAGCAGCCAAAAGGGGTGTAAAGAAGAGAGGTTCAGCATCCAGAATCTCATTCATTACTGAATATTGAATATCACATTGTGAATATACTGAAGGAGAAGCAGCCCACATGAAATAAACATATGCAAAGCTGTGTGAATGACATGCAATTATGAAGCCTGTTACTCTGAAAATACTGCTCAATATTGCCATCCTTAACTGTTATAAAACTAGAATAATTTCAATCATTATAAAACCTCTGTATTTCTCAATAATGCTTTCATAACAATGTGCACTTCACATTGCTGCATGTTTGCGTCCTAATCTCTTTGTCTAAACAAAACAACATTGATGTTTTCATAACAATGAAGACGAAGGAATAATGAATTTTCTATTTCAAGTAATTTTTAAATAAAAAAGATAGTATTTATGACAGTTATTTATGATAGTAAATCTGGAGCAATCCAGCCTGTTTACAGGAAGGTTTATCAAATTCCAGGTGTCTGCCTGTGTATCTGGGAATACTATGCAGTTTGGGATATCAAGGAGAGGCATTTTGTGCTTTACTTTCTTCTGTTTACAAGATACTTCAGGTTAGTTGTGTTCTATCTTGAATCACATACTTTCCTACATTCCTAGCGTTTCCTGGGAATTAAGTTGATGTAGAAGCAAACTATGCCAGGTCCTTCCCCAGATCTCAGCAGGATATTAAAGTAACACCGAGTAGGATGCAGTCCTTGAAGTGCTCTGTAAAACAGGTCCTTCTATCTCCTCTCATTTGTACAGTATTTAGTTTAGGTTTGTACAGCAAAATAAAACAGCAGTGAGATCAATAGATGTTATTGATACCCATGCAAAACCTCTTCCTTCCACAAATTATTATAATTGACTGTAATAAGATTATTTATAATATCCAGTACACAAACTTTAGCCCATTTTGACAAATAGATAGTAAGTCTTGTTCGGCACCTGAGTGATGTTTTAAGTGTTGCTAAGACAAGTACTAGAGAACTGAAGCTACAGAATGAGACACATAGAACTGGCTGATACGGTAAATTACCTAATGACAGCAGCAGTATTTCACACAACAAATGAGATATCCTACCTTTTTTGCCAGGTAATAAATTGCGTTAAGCAGAAGGAATGGAAACTTAGGATGTTCGTTACCTATCAAGAGACACCTGGTACGACAGCCTTTGGTCTGCAGTCTGAAAATAATCCCGCACTGACAAGTGTCAGTCAGAAATGCTGGTGAATCACTACAGGTCTTGCTTCGCTGCAAGCACCATCAAGTCAAGTTCTGTTCAGAGCCATTTGAGAAACAAGGCCTAAATGTAGCTGTTCTGATCCCAGCTAATGTTCCTGCTGCAATTATGTTCATTCCTGAAAAGCATATAAGCCCTTTAATCATTTACAGAGATTTCTCATTTCTCCTTATCTTCACAAGAAAGGCTTCACGCTTCCTATGACCAGATACTGAGCCCACAGTTTTGGCTATTCTCCTTTTCACAGTTGCCTGGAAAGGGAGGCAGGATATATGGGAGCAGTTTAAAAAAGAACCAGAGAGATGTATGGGGCCAGCGCTGATAAAACATATGTATTCAAGGAGCTCTCTTCAAAGTTCGGCATTGAATTATCTGTTATATCAAACTAATAAAAGTATCAAGCCTTTGCAGAAAAAGAAGCTTTTTCTTTTTTAAAAAAAAAAAAAAGATAAATTTGCCACTGCTACTGGTAAGGATACATGGACAGTCAGCATCAGCAGGTAGTCAATGGCAGATAGTCACCTCAAAGTGTGAAACCCACGATGGCTAAGCATGAACCTTTCACAGCTGTGCTCCTCAGGGGCAGAGAGCCATTGCTGGTGCCCCGTGTTTGCCCCGCGAGGGAAGAGGCAGAGCCGGGGTGCCAGGGCAGAGACAGTACCTGCACAGTACCTTTGAGGGCAGGCGGGGTGAAGACGCTCTGCTTCCTCTGCTTTGGAGAGGCGCTCTGGGACTGGGGGGACAGAACACAGAGAGAGGCAGTAAGAGATGGGCATGGGGAGAGTTTTCTGGTCATGGCAGCTCCGGGTCTTGCCCCACAGCTGCTTTCAGAGGATGCACACAGCACTCTGAAGTTTCAAAGAAAATTATATTGTATAAATCTGATATCAGCTCCCTGGCTTTCATGCATACAGGGAAAACTAAGATTAGACAGAAAAAACCACATGTTTAACGGACAACCCTTATGGCTCCCAAGCAAAACAGACCCAATACTACTGAAAATTACCCTTCACTCTAAAAGAGTATTGTTAAGCATAAAATTAAGATAGTCTGTGCTTTTAACAGTCTATGAAGCTGATTCATATAAGACAAGTAAGTGTTTACATATATTAAAATAGTTGCAAGATTTACGTTAACCAATATTCCAGTAAAATACATGTAACGAATGTTTATGTATATAGGTAAGGTAGTACTGAAACTATTAATACATAATTTTTTACATAAATAAATGGAAGATCCCTCCCCCTGCACTTTTTCAATGGGTTCTGTTACTCCTAAAAGAATAATTTCAACAACAAATCACTGAGCCTTTAACTGGGCCTGATTTAAGTGATATATTTAGACACAGTTAAAATTTCATGGTCACAAAATCACATCTACAGAGAAAAGATAAATTATTCCAAAATATTGGTAGTAAAATTACACAGAGTAATAGTAGTATAAGTATACAGATGTATAGTTAGCAAAACCTAACTGGAATATATTCCAGTTCTAAAGCAGAGCAACTTCTGAAAAACGAAAAATGAAAAATTAAATTGGTATCCATATTAGACCAACATGAAATATGTCCATATACAAAGGATAATAAAACTACATAAGGTCATACACATAGCTAACTTTTGGACATGTAAGAACCGCATCACATTGCTAAGAAAAAAGGTTAAAAAAAAATATCTGCATAGATAGGCTTTATTTTTTCCTCATCTAATCAATTTCTAGTTGTATTTGGTCATAACGATGTTGCTTTTTCCCAAATATTTGCTAAAAATGCCTTTTTCCCCTGAGTACTTTGACTAGTATATAGTCTGTGAATTTTAATCAGATCTATTTCTTCAAGGAACATTTGAGACAGCTCCTAAGAAAATCACTTTCACAAAAGTGTGGCAAATGCTATTACCTTACCTTATCACAATGGGTGGAATGATAACATTTATAAATAAAATATTGCCTGCTTTTGAAAGAGAAAGCTGTTTATAAACACTGTGGGATAGGTTGTTGATCCTCACCCCGGTACATCTTACTAAGTCTGTATTTGAGTCCAAATTTCAACCAATCAATACCTCCTACTGCTATTTAAAGCACTGCCTGCTTCTCTGAGCAAAGAGTGAAGGAGAAAGAGATCAGGGAATTAGAGTACCTATGCAAGAGGAGGTTAGAAAATGAGATCAGAGGAGTCGACTTTTTTAACTCCCGTGCAAACAACATCAATTCACTGCCTGCTTGGGCTTGGCAAATGATGGGAAGAGAAGACTGCAATGCTTTTGTAGACCAGCAGTGATCTGCAGACTCAAAGCAATGCTGGATGAGATGACTTGGCAGGTTCACCTTGGGCCAGGTTTGCTATGACTTGCCAGGGCATGGCAGCCAGGCAGGGGGGACACTTGCCTTTCCCTGTTCCCTGCTGCAGGGAGAAGGGAGAACTGGCAGAGCTGAGACGCAGCACAGCTTTACATAGCCCTTGTTTGAAAGTGACGGGCCTTAAAAGGCTGTGTACCTGAGATGGTGTGACAAGTTAAATAAAAACCTAAGTTTTTTTAAAAAATAAATTCACTTACCTCTGCCTGTGAGATATTTGTTCTCTTCTCATCTTTTTCTAGAGGAAGGAAAGATACAGAAAGAGAAAACTTAGTACAAAAACATTTCTAAGTGCTAAGCCTTGCAGCTCTGCCCTGAACCTTACAGCACTATTGTAAATAAGAAATTACCCTTCTGATTTACAGCTTTTCTTTCTCTATTGTGTATCTCAGAAAACCAGAGGCCATGATTAGCATTTAGACATAAGCAATGCATCTAAAGCACTTAACTCCCATTTTTTGTCTGTGAATCAACAGCAAATGATGGAGCTTCTTTAGCATCAAGTCCTTTGGCCAGGTTCAGAGCAGGGCTCTGTGCTCAACGATGGCTGTTGGGACACGTGGCTGCTTTGCCCAGGGACTGCAATTTTTTCTATGTTCGGAAAAGTCTTGATTACCAAATGACGTGCAGCAAACTCATGAAGGTCTCTTCTTGACTCAAATAATAATCAACAACCTCACCTCACTTTTTAACCTCAAGTAGACGTCACTGTGCAATTTCCACTGAGGTGTGGCAGATCTGTAAATGTAGGTCTGAGGGAAGAATTAGGTCCAGGCAACATCACTTCATCTCATTTATTCTCTAGATATTGGCTGCTTGTGGTGTGCTGTGCTGTGCATGAGGGGAAGAGCCAGTCCAGGTAGACCAATTGCATCTTCTATTGTATTCTTTACCATTGTATCTGTGCATCTTGCAAACATTAATTGATTGACTTACTGAATTTTTTCAATTTATATATTTCCCATTATCTTTATATGAAAGACATTCAGATGGCTTATACTTGAGGTTAAAAAGTGTAGTTGAAAACTGTGCTGATTACTAAAGCATGGTCCCACAGATACTGAATTAGACAGAACAATCAGGAAGGCAGTTCCTGCCATTGACATTTGTACGAACTTTGGTAAGGTGACTAATCTCTTCCTTGACTTCCCTACCTATAAATAAGTATAGCAGTGCCTATTTAAGTATACCAGCATCTATTTGCCTTTGCAAAGTGCTTTGGGGTATGAAGCTAGGCTGGCTAAATGGGTGATAATTTACGTGCTTGTAATCTTTCTTATTAGTTGTGTACCAAACAGATGCAGACTTCAATAATTCAACATTGGATTTTTTTTTTACCTCAGGATCCTGGATTTAGTTTGGAGGCTGAAATTTTAATAAATCAGGAGCTTTCAGCAGAGAACAATGAAAAGTATGTTACATCCCATTGCTTCATGAAACTCTAAATGCCCAGATTAAAAATGTGTTTTGTAAAACCAAGCTGAGGCTTGGGTAAGGAACAAAAACTGTAATCAGCAGCTTTGTTGGGTTTCAGGTCTTGTTCCTAAGGATGCACACAACTCTAACACTTTGGACTTGCGCTTCATGTTCTTACTGCGGTGACATTAAACCTACCAGAACTGGACAGTTTCCAGCCTTTCACCCACCAGCACTTACATGACAGGCAACTTTGGGCACCAGAACTGGTCCTGTATGGAGTTAGAGAAATCATTCATATCATAGAATAATAGAATACTTTGGGTCGGAAGGGGTCTTTAAAGGTCATCTAGTCCAACTCTCCTGCAGTGAGCAGGGACATCTTTAGCTGGATAAGGTTACTTAGAGCCCCATCCAACCTGACCTTGAGAGTTTCCAGGGATGGGGCATCTACTACCTCTCCAGGCAGGCTATTGCAGTGTTTCATCACCCTCCTTGTAAAGAATTTCTTCCTTATATCTAGTTTAAATCTACCATCTTTTAGTTTAAAACCATTACACCTTGTCAGATCACAACAGGCTCTCCTAAAAAGATTGCCCCCATCTTTCTTACAGGCCCCCTTTAAGTACTGGAAGGCCACTGTAAGGTCTCCCCAGAGCCTTCTCTTCTCCAAGCTGAACAACCCCAACTCTCTCAACCTGTCCTCATAGGGGAGATGCTGCAGCCCTCTGATAATTTTTGTGGACTTCCTCTGGACTTGCTCCAACATGTCCATCTTTCTTGTGCTGAGGACTCTAGAGCTGGATGCAGTACTTGAGGTGGGGTCTCACAAGGGCAGAGTAGAGGGGGAGAATCACCTCCCCTAACCTTCTGGCCACACTTCACTTGATGCAGCCCAGGGTGTGGTTGGCTTTCTGGGCTGTGAGTGCACATTGCTGGTTCATGTCCAGCTTTTCATCCGCCAGAACCCCTAAGCCCTTCTTCCCATAGCCTGTATTGATACCAGGGATTGCCCCAACCCAGGTGCAGGACCTTGCACTTGGCCTTGTTGAACCTCATGATGTTCACACAGGTCCACTTCTCAAGCTTGTCCAGGACCCTCTGGATGGCCCCTTGTCCCTCAGGTGTATCAACCGCACCACTCAGCTTGATGTTGTCTGCAAACTTGCTGAGGATGCAGTCGATTCCACCATTTATATTGTTGATGAAGAAATTCAACAGCACTGGTCCCAGTACACACCCCTGAGGGATGCCACTTGTCACTGATCTCCATCTGGACATCAAGCCATTGACCACTACCCTCTGGATGTGACCATCCAGCCAATTCCTCACCCACGAAACAGTCCACCCGTCAAATCCGTATCTCTCCAATTTAGAGAGAAGGATGTTGTGGGGGACTGTGTCAAAGGCCTTACAGAAGTCCAGATAGATGACATCCATAGCTCTTCCCTTGTCCACTGATGTAGTCACTCCATCATAGAAGGCCACTAGGTTGGTCAGGGAGGACTTGCCCTTGGTGAAGCCATGCTGGCCGAATCACCCCTGTCCTCCATATGCCTTAGCACTGCTTCTAGGAGGATCTGCTCCAGGATGTTCCCAGACACAGAGGTGAGGCTGACAGGGCAGTAGTTGCCAGGGTTCTTCTTTCTACTGTTTTTAAAAATGTGTGCAATGTTTCCCTTTTCCAGTCTCCAGGGACTTCACTTGACTGCCATGACTTTTCAAATATCACAGAGAGTGGCTGGCACCTACATCAGCCAATTCCCTCAGGACTCTGGGATGCGACTCATCAGGTGCCACAGACTTGTATATGTTCAGGTTCCTCAAGTAGTTACAAATCTGATCTTCTCTTACAGTGGGAGGGACTTCGTTCCCCCAGTCCGTGTCTTGCAGCCCATCCACTCAAGAAGCCTGGGAAAAGATGTTGCCAGTGAAGACTGGGGAAAAAAAGTTGTTGAGTAGCTCAGGCTTTTCTTCATCCGTTGTTACTAACTCACTGGTTTTGCTCATCAGAGGGGATATGCTTTCTTTAACCTTCCTTTTCTGGCTGGCATACTTGCGGAAGCTCTTTATTATTCTTTGCATCCCTTGCAAAGTTCAGCTCCAGCTGTGCCTTGGCCTTCCTGACCCCATCCCTACACAACCAGGCAGTGTCCCTATACTCTTCCCAGACTATACTCTTCCCAGACTACCTATCCCTGCTTCCACTGCCTGTGTATTTCCTTCTTGCCACTGAGTTTGACCAGCAGGTCTTGACTCAGCCATGTCTGTTTCTTGCCTTGCTTTCCCGATTTCTTACACCTGGGGATCGAGAGCTCTTGCACTCTATGGAAAGTGTCCCTAAAGATCTGCCAGCTCTGTTCTGTGCCCTTGTCGCTGAGGGAAGCTTCCCAGGGGGCCCTATTGACTAACTCCTTGAAGAGCTGGAATTTTGCTTTCCTAACATTCAGGGTCCTGACTTTACTCTTTGCCTGACCCATATCCTTCAGGACTGTGATCTCCACCAGTGTGTGATCACTGCAGCCCAGGCTGCCTCCAATCTTGACATCACTGATTAGTTAGCTCACATTGGTGGCCATCAGGTCCAGTATCACATCCCCTCTAGTAGGGCTATTACCTGGCTTAAGAAGTTATCCTCCATGCACTCCAGGAGTCTCCTGGATTGCCTACAGCTCATTGTGCTACTTTTCCAGTAGATGTCAGGGTGGCTGAAGTCCCTCAGAAGGATGAGAGCTTGACTATGAAGCCTTCTGTAGCTAGAGTAACAAGACTTCATCCATAGGCTCTCCTTGGTCGGGTGGCCTGTAGTTAGATGCCAGCCACCTTTGCTGCCTTGGTCTCCAATTCTTACTCATAGTCTTTCAACCTGCTCATGGCTATTCTTCAGAGACAGCTCTTCACACTCTATCAATTTCTTGCTGTAGAGGGCAAGGCCTCCACCACTCCTTCCTCACCTGTCCCTTCTGAAGAGCCTGTAGCCATCAACAGCCACAGTCCAGTCATGGGATTCATCCCACCAAGTTTCAGTAATGGCAACCAAGTTGTAGCTTTCTAGCAACACTGGCTTCCAGCTCCTCCTGTTTGTTGCCCGTGCTGCATGCACTGGTGTAGAGGCATTTCATCTGGGCTGTTGGCAATGTGACTCTTAGAGGAACATCCCTTAAATACTTTGAGGTATTTCACTGGTGTTTCCCTCTTGGCTTCTATTAGCTCAGGAGCCTCTAGCTCATCTCCATAAGACTTCAAGCATGTGCAGTGTACCCAGCATGCCTCAGAGCAACAGGCTGAGGGCCATCGCTAGCACCCTGTTCCTCTAATCATGGCGAAGCCGGATATTATTCCCCTCCCACTTCAGGTCTAGTTTAAAGCTCTGTCAATGAGTCCTGCAAGATCCTGAGGAAAGTCCCTCTTCCTGTTTTGAGAAAGGTGAATCCCATCCCACTCCAGCAAGCCTGGTGTCATGAAGGTCATTCTGTTATCAAAAAAAAACCAAAATTGTGGCAGTGACAACAGCCCCAGAGTTACATATTAATAACTGTGTCCATCTGTTTCTTCTAATGTTGCTGCCCACGACTGGAAGGAGAGAGGAAAAAATAACCTGTTCTCCTGATTCCCTTACCAGCTGTCCCAAGACCTTGAAGTCTTCCAATTGCTCTTGAACTATGTGTTGCGTGCAGCTTCATCACCACCCTCATGGAAGAGCAGTAACAGGTAACAGTTTGTATGCCGTACCAAACTAGGGAGTTTCCTAGTGATGTACTTAACCCATGCCCCAGGGAGGCAGCAAACTTGCCTAAGAGGGGGTCCTGTCTGGCATATTGG